AAAGCTCGGGTTTGACAGGGCGCACCATCGCCGGTCACTGGTGTCCACCTTGCCGGCTGGAGCAAACCTCGCCCATCCGGCAGCTTCAAGATAGCGGATTCTCAAAAATCATGCTATATTCATAAAACCGCGAACACATAAACATATGTACACACAGATTTGTGCGTGTGTGTGTGTGTGTGTGTGTGTGTGTGCGTGTGTGTGTGTGTATGTGTGTGTGTGTGTGTGTGTGTGTGTGAGCGTGTGTGTGTGTGTGTGGGTGTGTGTGTGTGTGTGTGCTTGTGCGCGTGCGTGTGCGTGTGCGTGTGTGTGTGTGTGTGTGTGGGGGGGGGGGGGGGGCTGTGCCTGTGTATGGCTCTTTATACATACATATATACGTACATATATACATACATATACACATACATACATACATAAACACACACACATACATACATACATACATACATACATACATACATACATACATACATACGCACGTACATACGTACATACTTACATACGTACATACGTACATATGTACCTACATACGTATACATGCATGTGGGAATGCAGGAATATACACCCGGACGTCTGTGTGTATGTATAAAAACACACAGGCCGAGGTGGATGTATGCATAGATGTATATGCATGTATACATACCGTGTATGCTTCAACAACTCTAAGTCGAGATGACTTAGCCTGCTTCCTTGTCTTAAGAGATCTTCACATCCTCAATCCGGACTTAGAGAGTTAGGGTTCAGGATGCTACACTCCAGCTCTTTGCTGTGACATTATTGAGTGTTGCTTTTGTTATCGCAAAGTTTGAGGGCTGGTGTTCACACTGCTAAACATCTCACACGCACGAGCAGTATGCACTCATGCATGTATGGGCGTATGCTTGCATATGTGCGCTATGTATGCATTCATGTATGTATGTCTAGATGTATGGATGCATGTATGTGCATGTTTGTACACACACATAGATCTATATACACAGTGTACACATATGCAAATGTTTGCCTTCAGACTTAGTTCCTCTTCCTTGCTCATATAACTGCATGTGTGCACTTGCATACACAGACAACACAAAGCCAGCCGAATCCGACCGTTGGGCTCGCGACTCTCTGCAAAGGAAGCATGTGCGCGAGTGGCCGGAGAAGCCAATCCAGCAGTCCTTTACATAACAGAGCTGGCTAGCATCGATACTAGTCAGGGTATTAGTATCACAAGTATGAGTACTGGCATTAGAGTTTGAATTAGGGTACGTATTAGATTGCCAATTGTATGAGTATGAACAGCTGTGTCAACATTAACAATGGTACTAGTACTAGCAACATTATTACTACAGCTATTGCCATTACCATCAGCACCAGTATTCGTATTTGGATGAGAACTAACGGATGTAGATATATATATATATATACATGTATAGTACATATACATATACACATATATACATGTACTCGTGTGCATGATCGAACGCATCGTAGTATTCGTATTGGCCTTAGCATCAGTAATCGTATTGAGTATTTTGTACCTTGTATTCAGCATTTAGCATTTAGAACTATCATATGGAACTTGGCCCTTTGAGCTTTAAGGTTTAGGGATTAAGACAAGGAGCTTGAAACTTTGAGGGGTTGGACTGCTTTCAAATTCGGGCATAGAGCTTCGGCTTAGTGCTTGCAACAAGGTTGCAACCCCTCCTTTTCCTTCCCGCATGCCAGCAGCCGCCCACTAGCAGCAAGAACGCCCGACCAAACTGATTCTGATGGCATGTCTGGCCCTCTGCCTTTCTGGAAGTCACCGTGGGTTCCCACCCCTTCAGATCGCGTTCAGTTCCGCGGGCGCATTCTGCCCAGTCCGTCTTCAACAAACTCCCCTCCATAATGGATGGCACGATCATGCCATTTTTAATTGAGCCTCGCCAAGCTACGGTGGCTGTGGCTGCACGTCCATAATACCAGAGACGAAACACCCAGACCCCGGCTGTTACTTCGAGGGCTCCCAAAAGCAGATATGGGACCACACGGGGAATCAAAAAGTGGCCCACCAGCTAGTTTGTGTTTTGGCAGCCTGGCACCACAAACCCTGAACTCTCAACCCGAAAACCTATCAACAGCTTCACGTCATGTTGGTGTAATAGAGTGTGTGTAATACAGCATAACATCAAACAGCCTGTTGTATAGATATCCCAAAATATATTGATAATAGAGACAATACTAAAACAGTAGTAACAGAGCAGTAGAGTATGATACCCCCTAACACTCTAAACCCTAAACCCCAAGCCCAAAACCCCGAACCCTTAAACCCTCAACCCTAAAACCCTAAAACCCTAACACCCTAAACCCTTAACCCTAAAACCCTAAAACCCTAAAACCCTAAAGCCCAAAGCCCAAAGCCCAAACATCTCCTCGCAGTACCAGAGCAGATTGTCGGGATCGAGATGGCCCTGATGCTTTCGCCTCGGTGGCAGCGAAAGTTACGGATGGGTTGAGGGGTTCAAGGGGACTTTTAAGGGTTCCTTCAAGGGCTACTGTAAGGGTTTTCGGGGGTTTAGGGTTTAGGGGTTGAGGGGTTTAGGGCTTTAAAGGCTTAGGGGTTTGGGAGCTCCAGGGTTTGGGAGTTTAAGGGTTTAGGGGCTTGGGGGTTTAGGGTTGAGGGGTGTGGGGCTTTGGGGGTTTCGGGGTTTAGGGTTGAGGGCTTTAAGGGTTTAAGGCTTTAGGGCTTTATATAGAGGTCTAGGGGTTGAGGGAAGGAACTAGGGGTTCAGGGGTTTATGGGTTTGGCGCGGGGCTCAGGTGTTTAGGGGTTTAGGGGGCAGGTGTCGCTGATCTTGTCATCAGGCCGCTGCTACCATATCGGTTTCTAAACCCCATAACACCCCACAACCCCAAGCTCGCAAACTCTAGACTCTGGACCTTTCAAACAGCCGTCACGTCCGTGCAACTGAGAGTAGGACGATCGGCAAAGCTGGCATTCCAAGGGCTCTTCCATCAGCTTTTACACAACATGCCAACTAGCTTACGAGATGCGTCTGAGTGAGTGCAACATGGAAGCTTGCCCACCGGATCATCGAAGCTGCGATCAATATCTTCCCACTTTCAAAAGGCTGTCGTGACATGTTGTGACTATCTGATGCTGCCTGCCATGGTCTGCTGGTGCAAAAACGATCTTTGCCACTTGTCCTATGTTTGGTTCACCTACCCTCAATCCGCTTTCAAGTGGTGAGTTTGCTTCCTGTCGGTTGAATCTCGGAGACACCTCCTGCTTTACAGTGGCAACTTACCATTCGAAGTATGGAGATCTGTGCAACTTTCAGAATGACACCAAACCTAGATCCTTTAACGCTATCAGTTCCTGCGAATCCGATGCTCTGAAATGCTCTCCGACAACCTCAGCAAGATCCTCGAGCCGACACAGCTTGGAAAGCATCTGATGAAGGCAGTAACCCACCGGCTTCGCTTCGGGATTCAAGGTTCGTCGAATAGGCGTTGCTACGGGGTTTGCACATAGGGACCTACGAAATTGAACAAATTGTTCTCTGGAAGTTATGCGGCAAGGCGGCATGAACTCTTGGCGTGTTGCATTGCATCAATCTGTCTCCGGTGCCTTGAGCTGGAAACTCCTTTATCCTGGTGTTGGCTATATATACATACATATTATATCATACACATATAATATATATATATATATATATACATTAATATTTTATATATACCATATGCATCGATCCCTGCATCAATCTGCACGCACAATCAGAATGGACACCACGTGGAGATTCACAGACAGAGACAAAGTTGCACTGGGTCGGTCAGACTGGCGGTCACAGTACCCAAAACGGCACCTACGTTAAACACTTCTTCATTGCCCATGTTAAATAGAGTCGGCCTCCAGAGCTAGCAACAGCGATGTGTCTCGTAGCAACTCTTGACGGCGTCGCCGGGCTGCATTTCTCAGACTTCACAAGGTTTCGGAACTACGACGATTTCATTTTCAATCTCGCCTCGTCAATCCTGCAGCAACCCGCGTATTAATGCTTGTAGCAGCCCTGAAATACCCTTAAAGGAACTGGCCCTCGAAGTAAGGTCAAAAGTGATCTCAGCTTGTCCTGGGAGTAATGTCGAGACCATGTAATTTCATATCAAAGAATCATAATTAGAATGGTTTTGTGGGTTATAGTATCACATAACTATAATCTAACTAAACAGGCTATAGAGACTATAAGAGAGGATTGTAGGACAACCACATGGGGACTGCTGCCCACCGTGCTGGCTTTCAGGTTTTCTGAAGGGGTAGTTGGGACTCAAGGCCTGAAACTCGCACGCACCTCTTTGCTTGCGGAGCCTGGCGAAGGCGAAAAGGTGTGTTGAGAATGTATTGTGCTCAAGATTCGTCGCAGTTTTTGTGCGGGAAAACAAAAAAGGTTGAGAAGATAGCTAGACCAGCGCGGACTGGGTAGACATGAACACAGCTGGTTACCAGCTGCTGTTCATTCCATGAGCTAGTGCGAGCGCTTGCCGTCGCTGCCCATGCATTTGTCCACGGAGGAACGCCAGACGGATTTTGTGTGAGCTTCGTCCCGGCGCAATTCTGCACAAAATCGTTAAATCGCATCCGCCCGTCCATCGATTCTGGCAACCTCATGGCCTGGCTTATGGAAACAACAGCGAAAAGAACACAAGTCGCCCCAAAGCCAGACTCAGGTCTTCAAGCAGCAGTAAGATCCCATTCTAAACCCCATTGTAGTCAATAGCTTCGCACCACTACTGTATGTATTGCAAATCCATGGCTGAAACGTGGGCGGGAGTGGTGTCGAACATGCGAGTGCGTGCGAAAAACTCGCTAGTCAAATTTCGTGATTGCACGTCGGCGTCGGAATTATACCTGGTGCTCAGGCACCAGGGAAGCCACCGGCACCAGAAAGGTGCATGGCCCCTACCCCATGGGCTATATCATGGGTATATAATAGCTATATTAAGGGTATTTACCTAGGGGTCCTTATTGAGGCTCAGACTCCTCAGCCCTGCGGCACAATCCTGGAGGAGATCGGAGCTTGGCTCTGCCAGGAGAATCTGAAGCGCCTTGAGAGGCTCATACCTGGTTCATGTCTGGGATAGTACCCTTTATACATCCCTTCTAGTAGCCCTTCTAGACCCCTTTAGAGGAACCCTATTACTAGTTCATGGTTGAGATAGGATTAAACATGTATACTGTATATTCGTTATTCCTGATTGGGTGAAAGTACCCGTAAACATGTAAAATGTTACCCAACTATGCCAAAGATACTCCGTGCAGCGCTTTCCTTGGTGCCCTGCCGCGGGGCCGCAGCGGGGGCCACCTGGCACTGCCAGAGGTCTGTCAGGGCTTTCCTGGGTTGTAGTTTTGGGCGTCTGAAAAGTATTTACGAATAGGTGCCTCTATAGGAACCGTACAAGGAAGTTAAAAAGTTTCCCAAATTGCCACCTAGTTTCTCCTGGTTCATGAGCTGGGCGAGTTGCTGTGCATACTCCTGGGCCTTAAGCAAGCTCTCGCTTGAGCGGCAGAGGGTGTCTGCAAAGCCAGACACGTCCAACACAATGACTCCCGAGACATCGAGTGTGGTAAGGTCTCCGATGTGGAGCCAAGGGGTCCAGAGACTCATCTCCGCTACCCATCGGCCCTTCTCTACACGAGTCCGAAACCCATTGAGTTCGTAGACGAACTCACCCGTGTCGATGAAGTAAGCTGCTTTGGCCAGCAAGCCACATTCGAAGACAGTGTCGGCTGGAGCGAAGGTCCTGTGCGAGAAGACCTTGGGAAGGCTCTTGATAGCCTGTATGGAGTGCTGGTCTACAGCGTGGCAGAGCTGAGTCATGACGTCCAGCCGGTTCAGGCATCGAATGTATCTGAAAGTATGCAACTCGGCCTGCAATGGCTTGGAGAGCAGATCCAATATCGGCACCTCGCTGTCTGCAACAACAGCTTGGCGCAAGGCATAGGCATGCTCCAGAAAGGCGAAAACGCGCATCTGCAGGTCTCGGTCAATGTGATGCTGCTTCATGTACTTCAGCAGCTGTCGAAAGTGCTCCTGCTTCCTGTCTGATGCTTTGTTGAGCTTGGTAGCCATGGTTGTAATTGCGGCCAAGAGAGTGGAGAAGACCACCAATGCAGCAAAGACGACCAACAAGGAGAACATCCTCTCCGGCGTGTTGACTGCTTCAATCTCCGACGAACCGAAGCCAAGCTGACAGAACGTCCAGTGTAGGGATGTAGTGTACTTGTACGGAAGACCTGCGCCATCTGGAACATGGGTATGTGTCCAACCATCCGTGGTTGCATAAGCATCAATAGCGTACCACGCACACGCCAGCACATGATGCACCAACAGGATCTGGCCTACTGATTGCAGAATGATCCAGCGAGCACTGGCCACGTCAGACACGGACTGCCCCTGGGCACGGATGCAGATACGACAGAGTCGCAACGACGCCTGTAAGACCCAAAGGCAAAGGACGGCGAAACTCACATCTGCTGGCACAATCCTCGTCGAAAAATTATGGGATGGATCGAGGATGGCTAGAAGCCAGTCCACACCGGCGCTGACAGCGTCGAATACCAGCCAAGTCTGCAAATAACGCCTCGCAATCATCCGGCGATTGCGCACCAGATGGCCCCGGAAGTAATACCCGGTGTTGAACATCAGCAGCATGCGGAGATTCCAGAAGATCTGCGACACCCAAAGCAAACTGCAGAGGATGCTTCCCGAAGGGATGTCCGGGAACACCCGGAGAGGCAACAGGATAAGGTCCAGAGTGACAAAGCTGATGCTAAGAAGGTCGCGCAAGACTTGTGCAAAGCCCACCGGTGAGAAGACCAGCCGATCCTGGTGGCTCGTGAATATTTCGGAGTCCTAGGCCTTAGAACCCCTAAGGCAATATAGTATAGTACAGCGTGGTGTAGTCAGTGTAGTGTAAGCGTATAGTATAGTGTAACAGGTAGACTAGAGTATAGTATAGTATAATGTATGCTAGCCTATGCTATGCAGTCCTCTGCTGGAGGCCGCAGTGTGCCTCCGAGTTCGGCAGAGTCTGTCCAATCAGGGCCGGTGACGGTGGAAGCCGGCCTGTCTCTTGCCATCCCTCGCTTACATACGAGTGAATGTACTGTTGCACATCTGGCTTTTTGATGTGTTTACTTATCTTTCCATATCTTTATACATACACAAAACTGTCTAACAGAAACCGACCTAGCGGAACGGCATGTATGCCAGAAAATGCCACGAAATAATATGCATAATTAGATAATAGATAGACAGATAGACAGAGAGATAGAGAGGTACAGAGATAGAGAGATAGAGAGAAAATAGACAATAGATAGATATGTGGAAACGTACTGACTGTACGTTTTAACCAAGCACGTGAACATAAATACATCCATCCATCCATCAATCCATCCATCTATCCGTCCCTCCATCCGTCCCTCCCTCCATCCATCCATTCTTCATCGATCCATCCATCCATTCTTCATCGATCCAGCCATCCATCCATCCATCCATGCATGCATGCATGCATCCATGCATGCTTGTATAAGTGTCATTACTGAACGTCCCTGATGCAATGTCGATTGTCGTCAACACGGTTACTTTCCGCTCTTGTCGCTTTCTGTGTTTGTAGCGTATTGGTGGTATCAATGCAGAGGCAAAGCAATATCGATAGCAGAAAAAGCAACAGCAGTGACATCAGTAGAAGTGGTGGCAAGCAACACCAGTGACATCAGTAGAAGTGGTGGCTTAGAGAATTTTTACTTCGTAGTAGTCGTCGTAGCAGCTGTTGGCTGTTGCTGTAGCAGCAGCATTCACGGTGGACAGCAGTAGCAGTAGCGGTAGCAGTAGCAGCATCAGCAGGGTAATACCATTCATAAATTACAGTACGTCAAAAATGATGGATGGTCGCGGTGGTGGTGCCGCTTGGCTTTGGCTTTTTGGTGCTAATACTTGTTAAGAGGATTGTCGGTAAACCGGCTGCCCACAGATCGAAACAAGCATAGCCTCGCAAATTGCACCTGTCGCTTGTTGTCGCTTGCTATGGGCTTACTTGACCTGGGCATTCAAAACTCACCAGGCATGTTCCTTTCCGTTGACACCTTGGTTTTTCCATATGATGAGCAAAGCCCGTAGAGCCTTAACCATCGTGCTCTTATCTAGGTCATTACACAAAGCAGGGCATCTCTGAAAAAAGAGCTATCGAAACCTGCCTCTGGGGCGTTCGATGCCGCTTCTGCCTGCGCACCTCGTCGGGAGACCATGCCTTGTCCAAGTCAAAACGAACGGATGCGAAAAGCGGTGTGGGTTGGCGGTAAGGATTTGGGATTTAGGGTTTTTTTTGAGGGGTTTAGGGTTTAGGATTTAGGGTTTAGGGCTGGCGGTTAGGGCTCTGAGAACCCTAGCAATCAGTGACCTCCGACACTCAAACGGAGTTATCTGCTCCACTCCTCGACCCCCAAAGCATAACCGTGAGGACGCTTCATGGGAGCTTCCTTTAAGGGTTCTAAAGAGGATCTGGACGGGCTTAGGGTTTAGGCGTACCTTATTTTGGGTTCCTTATAACAAGGACCATACTATTCAGGGTTCTATATTAGGGTCCCCTCTTTTTGGAGGCCCACTCACAGATTCATAGCCTGTCTGCCTATCCCAAAAGGGGATTTGCTCCATGATGGTTTCGCCGGAACTACAGGTCATCCATTGTACGGACAATGTCTCAGAAAAACAACGTCGGCAACCGAGTCTAGACCCTAGTCGCTGTTGGATCAGCTCCACAGACAATGCCCAAAAGTGCGCAATCCTCTTCTCATCTGCATGCTCGGCTTCCCTTGTCCCGACTCCACTACACTGATGGCACCGCAGAAAATTCACAAGCCGCGGCTTCCGGGAGCGATTGGGCAAGATCGATTCCCCAGATACGAGTTAGATAGGGATAATATAGGACTATACTACCCAAAAAAGGTCAAAGGATACCTACTCTACTACTAGGAGTTTAGGATTCAGAGCAACTACGTGCAGCTTTGCTTTAAGCCCTAGGCGGAATCCAAAAGGTCCCGGACGCCTGCCACGGATGGAAAACGATGACCTGCTCATCAAACAGGGAAGCCTGCGGCCAGGTTTCCTACAAGAGCCATACTGTGGCGACACTGAAGGTCTAGGGTTAAGGTGTGGGGCTTAGACCTTAAACCAACCTCGCCGCCCGACTTGTTCTCAGCTTGGCAAGCAAGCCTCAGTCGAAATGAACTTGCGAATACCATGAATGGAAGTAGAATCACACCAAAGCCGTGTTCACATAGAGCTGTTGTAGCCAGCTGGGTGATCATGATAAAAAATACTCAGACAAAACCCCGGCACTCACGACGACGAAGACTCTGAAGACGACGATGATGACGACAAGGACGACGGCAACAACAAAGAAAGAATAGTAACAAGCACAACAACATTTATGATGACGACGGCTATAGCAACTTCTGCTGCGCCCGAGCTCCTGTCCCACTCCCACCCACTCCCACTGCCACGATCGTCGACGCTGCTCTTGCTGCTGCTGCTACCACTACTGCTGCTACCACCTCAGGCAGCAGCAACAACAACAGCAGCAACAGCAACAGCAACAACAACTACTACTACTACTACTACTACTACTACTACTACTACTACTACTACTACTACTACTTTACTATTTTCAATTGAACGCTGCGCGAGCGTGCTCTGCGCTTTGCGGGCGCCTTTGGTCTCGTGCACTCGTGAAACTGCTTCTAGCATGCATCGCTCAGGTCTCTCTAATCAGCTCGAACTTGACATACTACTGCAACTGCTACTGCTACAAAAAGCTTCCTTCTCCGACACCTTGGTGTGAACAGACGCGTCCATCTGTGCACCTGTCTCAACAATTAGGCCGTACCTCAGACGAAGCCGCCACCTGGAGTATCCGTCTCGTGGCGTCCCACACGGATTACTCATGTTGAAGACAGAAGGCCGTAAGGGTCATGTGCGGATGACCGCTGGTACCTGAAGCAACTCCGGTGGCGTGAGACTTTGGGCAGCTTGGATGTGGGCAACTCGCTGAAGCGCAAAGTGCTGTTTTAAGCGAGGCTAGCACGCGGTTCACAGTCTTCCGAAGAGATGTGCTAGGCGTCGGAAGAGTGCCGAATTCCCTGAGTCTGTGACATAAGGGATCATAGAGTCTGTGACATATTACCGCCCTCACTGGTCATGACCTTTTGGCCACTGCTGAGAGTAACCATGCCAGGACCACTGCTGCCACCAGTCCCAGTCGTCATCCTGAGATGAGCGTGCCTGTCTGGCCCACTGGGACGAGGAAGATGAGGAGGGGCCATCGCGCTGCCGCTTGCCCTCTGTGTCAGCCTCCTGCATCTGTGGGCGCTTGTTGGGGGCAGCAGCAGCCAGTTTGGCCATGCGCTTGTCCTCTTCGTTCCCCTTGTCATGCTGTATCCGCATCTTCATGATGGAGTAGGCATTTTTGTCGGGTTTGACCCGGAAAACACGAGCTGGGAGTCCGGCTGATTTGGCCGTCTCATTGTAGACTGCCACTATGGTGGTGGCGATCATATTGAACTCGACCCACGAGGGGAAGTGCTGCCGAAAGGCCTTTTCGTCCCACATCTTGTTGAAGCAGGCATGGATAAGGCCATGCACCTTTGTTGGTGCGTCCAGCTCACGGTAGGCGTCACCCGCGCCTGTGGCGATGGTGACCTTCCCATCGCTTGTGAGGACCCGCCTCACCGACATGGCGGTGTCCCATGTGAGGCCGGTTTGCGTCCTTACGGACTTGATGGCAGAGAACAGCGGCGGAACTTCTCGGAGTGCTTCCATCCTGGTAGACCAAAGGGTCTGTTGTTCTTGGTTGGTGAGGCCGCCAAGAATGACCGGAGCCACCAGGATGTTGATGGAAGCCAAGGCCCGAATCCAGTCCTGATGGGACTGGGAGCTCAGCAGCTGAGCCAGCTCCTGCCGCGTGTAACGTACTGTCAGCCGTGGAGCCGGCTGTGGGACATAGCCGACGAGTTCCGCATTGGATTCCGGAGGCTCATATGCTGACGGGGGACGGGAAGAAGGAGGAGGGGGCGTGTGGGAGCGCGGAGCGGCCTGGGTGGCGGGGGTTGGGGGAGAGACGGACTTGGGGGGTGCGGAAGGAGCGGGGAAACTGGAATCGCCGGAGGGGGAGCTGGTGCTGCCGAGGATGAAGAGGGCGGGGGGCATTGGGTGGCCACCATGGGCGGTGGGGCCTTAACCGGAAGCGCCGGGGCCGCCTTCGGTGTCTCTGCTTGGCCTGCTTTGAAAGCCGCCTTTTCAGCTGCTGAGGAAGTGAAAGGGCACGGGGGGGAGGGTGGCGGCTCGAAGCCGGCTGCTTTGTCTATACCTTTGGTCCTGGTACTGCTGGGGGGAAGAGGAATTTCCTGTGGGAGCTTGGGGGGAGGAGGAGGGGGAGGAGTGTGGGGGTCCGGCGTGGCACTGAGTGCCGGGTTGTGCTTCTGAGTGACAAAGTGGTTTTTAAGGCCGTGGCTAGTGCTGAATTGCACCTGCCTGTTGTGCTTCCGGCAGTGCAAGCAGCATAACCACATGTCCCCCGAAACTTTCACTTGCCCTAATCCTCGAGGGATAAGCTCCAGCACATCCTGCTCTGTAAGGTCTTGGTTGTAGTGGTGGGTTTCACGGACCGTAGCCATGATCTCTGCAAAGGAGTTGTGCTGGATGCTGTCGGCCACATAGGCTTCAATATCCTCCTGAGTGGGAGGAGGGGGAGCCGATGAGGCGGTTGCCATGGTCTGTGACCTAGGTGGCTGTGGTGAGCTGTGCTCTTCAGGTCTGTCAGACTGGATTTCAAGGGAGATGTCAGGGAGTTGGCTCTGCAGCATGCGGTCTGTGCGTTCTTTGGTGGTTGGGTCTCCCTGAAATCCCTTCAGCCACTTCCAGCACCGGGTATATGCAACGGTCGTGTTGTTGGTAGTCACGAAATAGTGGCCATCATTGTCGTACTTCTTGTTCTTCACTCGCTTGTCCCAGCGCTCCGAGAACAGGTAGATGGGGCCAAATTTGGTGGAAACATTCCATCCCGGCTGAGGGGAGTGACCAAGGTCACGACCCAAGATCTGCCAAAGAAATTTGCAGAAGGTCATGTATTCCAAGTTTGCCTTCGCTGTCATAACCTGACGGCTGAAGGCGTGCTGTATGGCTTCCCTCATCAAGGGGTGTCTGGGCTTGCCATAGATGATGCCTTGAAAAATATGATCTCCTTTGACTCCTATGGCCATGACCATGAACTCCTGTGGGAGTTGGCCAGGTGGGGAGGGTCTGTGACCCACTTCACCTGCCTTCTTTGAGTGAGCTGTGCTCCAATCTGCTGCGAGATACGCGAGTACCTGTTCCCAAGGTACCACGAAGCCACATTTGATGTCGACGTAGAGGCCGCCGTGCTGGTAGTGGTAGACGTAGCGAAACACGTCTGCTCGATGAGCAGGTTGGCTGAGGCGATCTAGCAGATTGGAGCCGTACTTTCCTGCGAGTTGCCGCAGGGTAGCCCGAAGAACATCATCATCACAGAATCTGCGGGTGAAGCCAGCAAACATTTTGGCCGCAACTTGGGCCGGTTCCGGCTTTTCGTCGTGAACGTAGGTCTGGAAGAGGAGGGCCGGGACAGGGGCGGCTTCCCATTCTGGGAGATGTGTGAAGCGCATTCCCCAGGGGCCATGTCCGTATTGCATGGCTACCTCCGAAAGATCACGGACAGTTCGGCATTGTGACAGAGCCTGGGCAGCGAGCATTTCGATATGCATGTCCTGCTCGCGAGCGTTCCAACCAGCTACCACGAGGACAGGCAGTCCTGGGGTGTTGCGCATTTCCTCGATGGCTCTGGTTACAAGCGCCGGGATGACAATGTCCGCGACGTCGGGGCGGAAATGGAGATTCTTGGAGTTGTAGAGCCATTCTACCCCTCCTACACCAGGCATCTGGGCCAGGTCCATGATTTCCTGGTTGTGCAGGTTCTTGTCCGCAAATCCATATTGGACCCTGCCATCGATCAGGTAGTCATAATTGATTTGCTTCTCCGGGCGCAGGCTACGGGACAGCGGAATGAAGCGAACGTTGATTTGTCCGTCGAGGTGGTTCTCCAAGATGGAGGCCACCGGCGGACTCTGCACTGCCGCTGTGAAGTTGTGCGGCCCAAAGAGCCCAAATTGCCAGTGGAGGAGCTCCAAGATGGAGGGGACGCTGCCGGCAGAGATGTTGAGGGCGGCGCCTGGACAGCTTAAGACCTGTCCCGTCAGCAGCGGGAACACTCCGTACGTGTGTCCCCGCAGCATGTGCTGCAAGGTGCTATCGCTGAGCACCAGAAAGGGACCCAGACTGGGAGGTTTGTCCATGGTCTCAGCTGTAGCTGATGGGCCAGAGTCTGTGACACGCGGCCAAGTGGTGAGCTGTGCTCTTCGCAAAGACGCAGTTTGTTCCGAAATTTAGCTTCTGCAAGGCGTGTCTGTAGTGCATGTTGCGATACTCCTGCCGCTGTTTCCGGTAGCAACAGTTCGATCTGACAGCTGCGGTATACATGTAATGCTTTGCAGAGTCTCAAGACCAAGCACGAAGCTCAAGCAACGCAGGACGACTGTAGGCAAAGAACACCAGCAGAGGGCACTCGGGCTGGATAGCTGGTGCCGTGTGGTAGCTGAGACCTCAGATCGCAGGAAAGAGCAAACGATGATGCAACAGTAGCTGAGTGTTGGCATGCTGCAACGTCGATTTCTCTGGGCAGGTGGGCCACACATCTCTGACTGTGACTAGTTGGGTGGCTGTGCCACACCTGATCGGAGGCTGTGCCACTTTCCTTGCGTGAGTCAGTGAACTGCCTATGGCCCAAAGTGCTCAGAAAAGACTGTAGTAGTGGTCGTAGAGAGCACTGGATTCCTCTGCTTCTCGGCTGATGGTTGCCGTTGGCCCGTCCGGGTTAAGGGGATTCCGGAACTTCTGCACCACGACCTGTTGGCTGTGCTGAATGTGGATGGTGAGCTCTTCGGACGCGAGGTGCCACTGGGGCGTGTCAAAGGACTGGACCATGACACGTAGGCCGAGAAACATAGCTGCCCTGGCAGTGCGGTGTGGACTTACAAAGAGCTTATGCTCGACCTGGGAGAGCACTGCGGCGCACCAGGATTTGCTAACCGACGCCAGTGAAAGGGCTGTCAGCAAGTCTGGCTGCGGTATCGCTAGTCTGA